CCAAGTTCATGTGCAACTGGCAGGATTTTGTAGCTCGGTTCAGTATTTCTTCAGTACAAGCAACTATGATTCTGTGAAAAATAGTATTTCTGAATATATACAAGCTCATTGCTCTAATTCCTTTCTCTGTGCATCAGTTATATGCAGAAATTGCTCCCAAAACAGCAGGGTTTGAGCTCAGATCCCAAGGCTTTTGCACTAAACCCACCCTGCAAGACGCTACACAGAGGAAAACGGGATCTCTGGTATCCAAGGGGCAATAGTACCAGTTTGGGTTTGGAAAGGGAAATTAAGGACAGGAATTCTGTGGTAGCTGAAGGAATCAAGAAGATCCAGCAGATGGCAGGAACCAACTAAGAGATAAATGCTCTGCTGAATAGTTGTCAACCAAGCTGTCCAGCGTGTGTCATGTTAGACTCTCTTGGTTTTGGGTTTTTGCCCCAAAACCACATGCCTAGCCCAGGCATGCTGGACTAACTCATTCTGGGTGCTCCTCTGTATTGCTGCTCATCCACGGTGGAAGGGGCGAAACACCTTTTGTCCATCTGGCATGGGTGCAGAACTGTGGGCAGGCATCAGGATGCTGTGTTTTTCCCTCCCTCTGGCTGATAATTGCCAGTGAGACCCAGGTTAGTCACAGAGCACCACCAAGTCCTCCTACTCTCCATCTGACTGGAGTAACGTGCACTCCTGTGACTTGAAGTCTGCAAATCCAGTGATACTTTGCTGCTCACCAGTCTCAAGGCCACCCCACAGCGCTGTTCTGGCCCCTTCACAGTCTGGATTTTAAATCTGAAGTGGAATAAAATGCTTTTGGCTCCTGTTCTACACTGAGTCAGGATCATGGGACACACTCCTACACCAAGAACCATAGAATCTCAGAATGGTTTTGGATAGATAAGACCTCAGAAGATATCCTTTGTTAAAAACAGAGATATGTGGACAGGTACTATTTCATGGACATGTAGTATTTAGTCACTTTAAAACACAAATACATTTAATCTTACCTTTAATCTAAGGGAAAACAAAGGGGATGTACTCTTGAACACGTGCTAAAGAGCATCTGCTGGCCATGGCTGCCTGTTATGATAGCTCATCTGCCCTCTGGGCTGCAGTTCGTGATGACAACAGCAGGAAAATAATCCTCTTTGTTGCATGAAGAGGTTTCTTTGAAGTTCCTTGCAAAAATTCCTCCTGTTTTGCACTGTCAGATGTACTGTCTTACCTTTCTGTGGAGACCTGCTTCAGCCAATGCCCAGTAGTATTCCTGTGCTGAGACTCCCCCTCTTTCTGAAGCCTTTTAAAATGATTAATTTTGACTTGACAGATGCAGAAAGAATTCCTCCCTTGGCCTTTCACATTGATTTTCTGTGTTTTCATTAAGGTTAATGGTCCTCAGATGAAATCTGCTTTATTATCATTCTATTAGTTTGATTTTGGCCTTGTAGTGTTTCCATCAGATTTTGATCATTGCAGTATCTATAACTATCACAAAGCTCCTGTAATGAAATTGGATTCAGGGAAAAAAGCCCATAAATCCTACTGTTGCAGGGAACCAATTAAAAGCCAATAAGAGGTTGCATCTGCTGGGAGTACTTGTGATTGATGAAGGTTGCAACCAAGCTGATGAATTCCTCTTCACAACAGATTTCAGTCAGCTCTTGCATTACCTGAAATTATGGATGAAGTTGTGTGAGAACATGAGCTACAGCTTACAGAAGACAAGAATCCAGAGTCTGCAAGAGATAATTGGAACAACAGTGATGCCCAGCAAAACAAAACAACTCATTGCTTTAATTATAAGAGGAAAAAAGGGGGATTGTTTCTCCTGGTATTGGTAGCTGGGAATTCACTGGCAGCACGACATGAAAAACACACTGAAGGAAGATTTTCTTTGCCCCAAGAAACATCTACAGGTATTTTTCTTGTGTATATTTTAAGAATACTCACCTGCTGAGAGTGAAACATAAGCCTGACACTATCGATTTGTCTTGAATTAATTTTGAATTAATCAGCTCTAGAAGAGTTTCTGTTTCAGGTTTGAAGCAAAAAAATTGAGTAAAATACTGAGTCACCCAACTTACTTCTAATTCCACTATTGATCTGTTCAGTGTGTTTTCTCCTGTGTGATTTGGATCTTCATCCACACCACAAATTGGAGAAGCAATTATTTGTGGAAGTAGGTTGACGGGAGAATTTGTCATGTACAAGTACGAAATACCTGCTGTAACTCTCCCCATTCAGTTGTGGTATCCAACATCCCTAAGGCTTTCTCCTCCAAAGCTGTTCCATTCTCCTTAGCTCAACATCACAAGATGACATAAGCTATAAATATATATACAAATAAATTTCACTGCACAAGCATCTCTCTCACAGGTTGTACCATCTTTTAATGCTCAGAACTTCAGAGTACGGAAGGATGATGATCAGCCTGATCTCCACCTTCATTTGGAAGAAGAGCATTCCT